ATGTATCGTAACATGTATGATCTATGTACTAAATTTGAATGAAAAACTGACAAAGCATGTCAAAATACGACATTTTCAAAAAACAAGATGGCTGCCAGTCGGCCATCTTTGATCCAATTGTGAAATAAATCATCATGGACATGTATCCTAACATGTATAATCTATGTACCAAGTTTGAATGAAAACTGACAAAGCATGTCCAAAATACAACATTTTCAAAAAACAAGATGGCTGCCAGTCGGCCATTTTGAATCGAATCGCTAAATCACTGCATGTGCATATGTCCCACATAAAGTACGAGGCACATGCAAAGAATGAACAGAATCGGTCCAAGGGATTCTGAGATATGACTCCGGACGGACACACGGACGGACGGAGACCGAATTATAAGTCCCCGTTTTTGGACTTCGTCCGAACGGGGACTAAAAAACAAAATGTGATATGGCTATTAAAAAATTTGTAATTTGTAAATGGAACTGTTTTGTTGATGATGCCTGAAGTTGACTTTGACCCTCAAAAGGTTAAGATGAAGGTTCGTGGGTGCTTATATATTTTTAATTACCTCTGTATAAATTGAGTGAGAATTTTGTTTTTGTGTATGCATGTTTCTCTCAAAACTATGCCTTTGAGTTTTTTCACTCAAAACAGACATACAGAAAACATACAGAAAACAGATGTCTATGAACTGATCAGCAAACTTGGAATCAGACCGCGCCAGGATTGTACAGCGAGAGTCAAAAGAGAAAAATTCTGAATTTATAAATTCATTACTATTTGTTTTTATTATATTCAAGATTTCTGTCAATAAGTTAATCAAATAATGCAATATGTGCAGTTATTGGTATGCTAGATGAGAATTTTCAGTAGAAACATTTAACTGTTTGATCCAGTAAAAGTATTGTGTGAAATGCCAAAATGAAATGCTGTCAACATTTTCTGAAGGCTACTCAATTCTCCGCAATGCAATTTTGTTGATGATTTGACTGAGTGGAGCATGCAGGAAACTTATTAATGAGAAGGAGGCAGTCATGTATAATCTATGATAATTGGTCTTGTCAAACGAACCTGGGTCTCATCCTTAAAAACAATGACAAAGTACCGGTAATATATTAAATTACACAAAACATTCAAACTAACAAATATTTGATTTGTATAAACATATATCATATTTGCTCTATTCTGAGTGCATCTAATAAAAGCATATTATTATGTAAACAAAAGTTGTATTCATTGTACACTGAATTATTTAGATATGATTTTCTTATGACCATAATATTAATAGAGCAATTATGCAAAATAAGCTAGCCTCAGATTTTGAAATAGCAACTGATCAGCCTCTTTCCCACTGTATTTAATATAAATCTGACAAGTTAAGCATATTCACCAATCACAACTGTATAGGGAGTGTCTTTCATCTTGTATTTAATATAAAAATGGCTGTATGCTGTTCAACTCTTTTTCACATGTATGTCATATCTCGGTAAATAGACATTGCAATAATGTTGAATTCTGATTTATTTGACAGATCCACGCACTGCCTGTAACATCGTTGTGTTCTTCTGTAGACATGCATTCCATGAGGATTGTCTCCCCGCACATAATATGGTAAGTACATGTACACATACATTACACAGTGGAGAAGGAATGTTTGCATAATTTGTGAAACCTGGACCCCATACAGAACGGTTAATATTCACATCAGCTTCCAATTCCAATTGCGTGTGTTGCTGACCAATGACTATCACCTTGACAATACTTTATTGGTTGTGCTAAGTTCATTCTTATTTGCCTGGCATTATAGATTAACCCTTATAGCGAAACCGCTATAATTTTTCCCTCCAAAATTATTTTCTAAAATTTTGAACCAAATTGACAATTTCTTATAACTTCCTGATCTTCATAAAAAAATTGTGTTTTATTCTGTGAAAGGTGACAGAATCTTGGCACCTGCAGGGTTAACATAGACTAAATGCTACTTCTTACTTATTGCAGGAAACATGTAATATATGCCATGCACAGAGAAGAACACCTGGCACATCATCCATGTTCAGGAGTTGATTGATTACTGGAGTAAAGAAGTGATAAACATGATATCTGCATGATCTGAGCATTGACACATTATAATCTGATAGACTTTCATATTTAACATGCATGATGTATTACTGTATAGTTCAGTAGCAAGAAATATACATTTATACAGGAACAGAAAAATGTTGATGGCAAAGTCATCATAGTTGTGAGAAGACAAAAATGGCAGACGAAATCTCATTAAGAGAACCACAATACAGGTACTTGTTTTTGTCTCTGTTTCGAAAACCATGGTTACATAGGTCACAGGAACTGGACATGATGACGAGAGAGAATGGAACAGGATAAAAACAAGTCTCAATCTGTACAGGAACAAAATGGTTGTTGCCAATTATATGTAGCACTTTTTTCAAGTAATTTCATGAGAGAAGAGGGATTGCCGACACACTAACTTAGTATATGTCAAGATATCCAACATGAATGTATTTAGTTCTTTGTTTTGTCAAAAAGCAAAACTCAATATTTGATAAAATTCATTACCTCCACACAAAAAGCTTCAACAGTATTTTGAGAGGAAATACAAATAAACCACTTTCCTTTAATATCTTGGTAATTCCTTTGTCTTGTATACTAAAAATAATTATTTATCCCAAGATGCTTTGCATACTCATTCTCTCTGTTTACACATGTATTGGACAGTGTATTGTGCCTGTATAACTGACATTTTTATCTTAGGTCTATTTGAACTCATGAGCCAAATAAATTTGCTGTTCATCTCGTTCGTCATTATTGCAATCATAGTATATGGTACGTCTTTGGTAACATTCTAGACACTCATTTCAGAATGTGACTAACTGCCCATTTCCTGATTTCTGACCTGTGATCATATTATTGTTCCATGATTTTGCTGTATTGTATATGAACTTGTGTAATATATGTATCGTAAATTTTGCCAGTAACCATGACAACTGGTATTTACAAGATGCTGATAACCAGCTTTTCATTTGTATTTGTTGGCGCTTTCACAGCTCAAATAAAGATAATTTTTACTTAACCATAGTGACATTTTAATTCATGTGACGAGTTAGTCCTGTCTGTAGCACGATCTAACAAACCACGAGTCGACCATTGTCTGATTGCATGTATGGTATTTGTTTGATGTCTCTGAGGCAGTGAGCTAAAACATAATCTTAAAAATTCAAAATGTTAATCGACAGGCAAACAAGCTTTCACAGTCTTGCTGCTTGAATAACATCCCCCACTCTGATCACTTGTCTCGATAAAAGTAAAAATTTGTGTTCTCATTGCTTTAGTCTATACAATAAAATAAAATAAAAAGCTAAACAAATGTCTGACATGATTGTGTGCTACCTAACAACATGAATGTGTATATTTGTGCCTTTTTTAGCTCCGCTGTTGACTTTGTCGAGCGGAGCTAAAAATATGAGTGATTGTCCGTCGCAGTCGTCCGTGTCAATGTTTTACTTTTCCGACTTCTTCTTGAAAACTACAAGCCTGAATGCTTTGATACTTGGTGTATGTACCTTGGGTAGACCTCTCTGAGGTTTGTTCATATCTTCAATTCTCTAATTTTGGTGAATATTTTTGTCATTTTTGGTAAAAAGTGATATTTTCGACTTCTTGTTAAAAACCGCAAGTGCAATTGCTTTGATATTACATATATAGGTACTACATGTAGACCTTTCTCAGATTTGTTCATTTCGTGATGATATCTTCAATTCTCTAATTTTGGTGAATAGTGATATTTTCGACTTCTTGTTGAAAATCGCAAGTCCTATTGCATTGATACTATATATATTGTTCATTTTCTAATGATGTCTTCAGCTCTTTAATTGATAGGCTGCTTGTTTTTTGTCAAAATGCCAGACGATGCATCTGGTGTGAGCACAACCCCAATATCTATGAATGAGTTCTTTGATTATATAAGAAACCATTCATCAACAATTTGTGACTTTATTTATAGTGAGATTAAAAATCATGACAGGACAGTTGTATCATTACCAGTTGCCCTTAGAGTGTCTGTATCAAAATAATTTGATCTTAAAATAAATCAACAAAATCATGTTTGTTATATACAAAGTTGAGTTGATAAATACATGCATACATCAGCTTTTTATTTAATACAACATATAACTGATTGTATCATGTTTTCTAAGGTGGGGACCATATGAAACTATGGCAAAAAACTGTTAAATATTTTTTTTTTCAATGATAAAATCACTAATTTCTTTTATTCCCCAAGAAATCGGCGAGCATAATTTTTTTCTGTTATTGATTGCTGCAGGATTTTATTCTGTGCAATTTCTTTTCCCAATTGTGCCATTCCAGTTTTTAATGCCCCCCCCCCCCCCCAGGAAACGGTGACAATGCAGTTTGGTAAACATTGCAGCTTGGTAAACGGTGACAATGTAGCTGGACTATGACTATATTCACTATACCAAGAAGGTGGTCATTTTTCATACTAAATTTTGCAATTCTTATACCCCAAGGATTCATAAGATTAGGGTATGCAACAGGGAAATGAAGAACAAATTGATACATGTAATCATAAAAATACAACAGAAACCTAAATTTCTAGAAATCCTAATCTTAGAGATTCATTTCTATTTATGCAATCAAACATTCCCAAGCACCCAATGTATTCTGTGATGCTGGTTAGAGCTACGTTCAATTGTTGTGCACTGAATGGAATCATCAGAGTTTACTTCTCGTGAGATCTTTATTGTATAATACTTGTATACAGCTCTGAAAGTTGCATACCCTTATCTCATAAATCCTTGCCTACATTAATTTGTATGCTAAATACCCATAAATTAAAATTAACCTTATTTTAACCAAAGACGCACATTTGTTTATATTTATGAATGCCCTACTACTAGAGCAAATACAAAACATTTATACATGACTAACACAAATGTATCAAATTTAGCATTTCATTGAAGTTGGTTAATTTTCATTGGACAGGATGCTGAGACAGTAAGAAAGAATGGACCTTGCTGTTGTGGTTTGAATGTACACGGCATTATGTTGTAAACACCTCCTGGAACATCCTCTATTTGCATGACACAGAAACCACGCCTACAAATAAAACACATTTGTTAAATGTATGTAGTAAGGTTGCCATAGTAACTTATTTATATACTTAAAATTGTTACCATGTTGTTAGCAGATTTTTATATCCACCTAACACTACCACTGATGTACATTAGTAAATCTGGTTTTATTAGACAAATTTTCATTTTATTTTTTTCGATGTTACCTGAAGGGGAGGCCAGGGGTCTTATGGGTAACAGCTTATCAGATAGTGGGAGGCCAGGGGTCTTATGGGTAACAGCTTATCAGATAGTGGGAGGCCAGGGGTCTTATGGGTAACAGCTGATCAGTTTCCCTTACCATCTGAGGTTACAATCGAACAATTAGGAATATATGGATAAACTCATAATAAACAATAACACTTTATAACAGTCATTTATGCAATGTATTAACCCCAGAATTGAAGAAGCAGAGTTATGCGAATTACAAACCTTGGACTTGTATCAAACGAGTAAATGAGCATTAGTAAAAGTCAGAATGAAGGAAATTTTACCTGAAGTCACCAGAGTGCATCTTGGTAAATGACGTTCCCTGTCCTGCAGTTGAGACTGAAATCACTTCAAATCCAACACTGTATTCCCTGTAGCATAAAAATAAATTCAATCATACTGATCAATAATTCAGCATTCCCATAGTAATCTCATAATGACATTATTTTATAAGACTTAAAAAATAGTTTTTTTATTATTTAGGGAGTGAATTGACATTCTGGAATAATGTTCACCAAAGCAAGAACACATGTACCCTTTTAACCAGAATGTCCAAAGACACCTTGTTTTTAACATGTATATTGTTAACATTTATACCACCAGCTCCTTATTTTCATCACAAATTTGTTTATAGTCTGCAATTCCCTGCAGAAGACTCAGATAAAAATAGCCAAATGTTTTGAAAAAAAAATGAAAACTGACCCAACATTAGGATTCATTTCCAGAAATATTAAAAAATATAAGAAAATAGTGCGAACAAATTTAGGCAAGAAAATCTGGTGGTGAAAAGGTTGAGGGTTTACAACTTTGATATCTATGTACAGTGATGTGCAGAAGATGATTTCATGTGTGCTTCAGTGAGACGTATCTCTAACCAATGGCATAGAACCCAGTAATCACTTGGTAATGTTCGATTATATAAATTGAAAGGACCAAGATTACCACATTCTGTATACAAACTAGCAAAACAGTCCGAGTAAACACAAACCAGTTCTTTCACAGACTCGCTCATTTGCATTTGGTTCTAGAAATGTACGTGTAAGCTGTTCATCACATCCGTGCACACACAGATGCAATACTTACTTTGGTCCTTTCAGGTCAATCATTAAATAATTCCCACTTGTGTTATTTTGTAAAGTGACTTGATATATCGGGTTATTTGGATGAGTGTCTGCGTAATTACCGCAACCCCCCGCAGTATGACCCGACCACTGACCAGTAATCTACAAAGTAAACATACGCATAGTATTCATATTCACATGATTTGATTTAATGTTTTGTTGAAGTTCACAGCCAATGACAAAATAACCTAACCAAGCATGCTACATGGCAAGTATGTGTGAGCGTCTGTCACGCAACGTGACCACTGCTTGTAATTGCGTTCAGTAGGAAGTTTGTCATACATGTGTGACAAAGATGCTATTAGACTTTCGAGACTATTATATTTACTAAAACTTAAAAGAAGTCACAAAATAAACAAATTTGACATATATAAGTATAATCCAAGATACGTACATAACATAATTTAACAATTTATTGACACAACACTATATATGGTTCATACAGCAGTATGGTCACTAAACACACTATAACTATCAACTAGAATAGAATATAGAATAGAATATACCGGTACATATTTGGCAAAAGGTATAATAGAATAAGTGTCTAATGCACTTAATAAATATATGAACTTACATTCTTCATTAAGTTTTTCAAACTCTGGAAAGCTAATTTTGTAAAATAAATGTCCTCTATACTGAACAATATTAGCATTATTTCTGATGCATCACACAATTTGCATATTTGCTCAGTTCATGGTATATTTTTGTAGCACCCTTGTTCTATTGGTAAACTGTCACTTAATATCCTTAATTTTGTTATTGCTGATCGAATAAAGCAATCCAGAAAAATTAAAATATAATTGTTGGGCAATGACTCCAATCACTTATATCCCTGGTTCTGTCTCTATGACGACAGCAGTGTGTTATCATGTACTTCACAGTTCATCAAATACAGTAAATCTAAACTTATTTTGCACTTACCATTTTCTCACTGGTGTAAGGCTCTGGCACTTTTGTTAACTTGAACTCGCAACTAGCAAAAATCTTGATGAAATGAAATTAAAAAAAAAAGTTAACAATGTCACTACTTCCTTTGGTGGGGATTACAGATTTAACGTACTTATATGTATAAAGAAAGGTGTGTTACATGCATTGGAGATTGCACAAAAAAAACAATACCGGTACTTCAAACGAGTTAGTTATGACAGACAAGGTGATCGTCAGTTTTTATTTTTAATCATTGTGTATTTGCCGCTTTGAATGGAAATGCATATCAGATAAACTAGTTTATTTCTTTTGCCACAATTTATCATTTTCAGTGTAACCAATAATCATCTTTGACGCATACAACAATGTTTTTGGACAAAAGTTTGATTTACAAATACAGATCACCATCACATAACCATCCACGCTTAGGAATGCTGAATACACACATACTGTAATCGCTTTAATTTTACAAATTTATGAATTTTGTAGCTGTGAAAATCTCTCTCACAAAGTGTCAAAGATGAAATTTTCATGATTGTCATAAAATCATCATCATGAAAATATTTAGCAGCGAAATTAATCAGTTTACAGTATCTGTATCAACTTTTAGTTTGATTTTCTAATGTGATCATGTGGATTGATGTGTCAGTAAAACTCAACATGTTATCTATCTTTGGAATCAAAGCCCAGGTGTTCCACCACCCATATATGCTAATTAGATCAAATAGCCCATAATACTCACCCTGAGTGTATAGTGAATGGTATTGTTCTTTTCATACTGAGATAGTACCAGTGTATAATGTGAAGTTCCTTTATCTTGTACTATCATTTTACATAAATAATGTGGACTATTGATTCGAGTGCCATCAATAAAAGGAGGCGGCTCATCTGATATGCAAATATGAGAAATTATAAGTTACATCAAACTTTCAGTACAGCATACTATCTGCAGACAGTAATTTTTTACATCCATTGAGATCTACTACATGTTTTATGCATGACCCCTAAAGGTCACACATCCTGGTACTTTATGCATAACTCCATATTAAGTGTGTGTGTCTGTGGTCAAAATAAAATATGTTTAAATGATTCAGTATACAATTAATGCATCTTTTTGTCTATATGTGGAGATATGTTTCTAATATAGCAAATACAGTACATGGATTTACTAGGATAAAATCAATCAAGAAATCATTCATATGAATTTGTATCACCAGAAATTACCAGAAATGGCAACGAATGTGTCAAAACATTTAAACAAGACAATTTTAGTGAAATGCTTGAAAACTCTTTCAGTCTACAATGTGATCATATAAAAATACAATAATCATTCTGCTTCCTTTACAGATAACCAATCAAACAGCCTGTATCATAAAAATGCAATACTATGTTGACTTACTTGGATAAAATACTTTTTTCCCACCAGTTTTATAAACCAATAAAGTAATATACTCCTTATTATCAGCAAAGTCATCCTGTTTGAAAACAATTGATATTATTTGTCACATTGTGGTACATTCTCAATCATAACACTGTAAGGTCTTTATATTGGGTGTCTTATTGGATGTCCATGGAAGGCTGTACGAGTTCTGTAAGATATGTTTTGTCAGACAGTCCAAAGATTATTTTGACCCTCTTTTAAAGCATTAGTATCTTGTTTGATGTGGGTCGCATCCAACGTATACAAAACGTGTGAAATACAGAAAATTGTGTTGCATTTAGTTGACTAGCTGACTGTGACATACAAATGGTGCATGACAATCTGTGATATGCATGAGAGCAATGGTTTCGATCGACATGTCATGAAGGTTTATGTGATTCCGTACTGCCTGAGTGCATACTTTGCAGTATTCTCATGATAACCTTATCTTGAGTAAATACTGTAAACCACTTTGAATTGGTGATAGACAATTTTTTGGAAAATTTCACAAGTCGGTGAAAATCGTAAAATTTTGTTGCAGGAAAATTTATCATTTTTTTTTTTTTTTTAAATATTTTTTGTGTTGTCACTGTTGTCTCTCCTGACTTTTTTTTTGTATGTGCAAATTGCAAGTGCTAGTGACGACACATAGTGCATTTTGCCACAGATGTCATATTTATGTTTGGGACTACATGACAGGGCTGTGTGGCCATCTCTCTGTCAAATGGCAATTTGTAATGCACTATCCTAGCGTCAACCAGGCCCAGTCGAATACAAGCACCTGCGGACCTTAACCAAGGTTCCCCCAAAGTCGCATTCGTTAGTGAATGAATCTCGGCCAGTGGAATTGGCCTTCCCATTGAGTCTGTGACACACTCACCCAGGGTAGGTGTCAGTGAACTTCACTAATGTCACAAAATCCTGAAATATTGAATATTCCTAGCACTGAATACAATTGACATTAATTATTACTAACAGTTGTATAAAAAATCGTAATAATTCAATATATTTTTATACACATTGACAGACAGGGGCACTATTCACCTAAAATGGTTTCCTTTCTAGCAAAAAATGGCCACGAATGTGTCAAAACATTTAAATAAGAAACAAAAACCCCACAAAAATTGAAAAGACAAATTGGTGAAGGATACTTTTTGGGTGTCTTACCTTATCTGTAATGTGTCTTGTTAATAGCGCCCACACCGCTCCTTGTCCTTTCACATCAAGCCTGTACTGTGGATTGTCTCCTATATTATAGTTATCTTTTTTAGGTCCTTCACGACACTTCCATGTACTGTTAAATGAGATGCAACAAAAAATACAATGTAGAAGTATTTGTATCAAATGTTTAATGGGTTGATGAATGGTCCATGAATGCACTGTGAACACATCAATTATTTACTCATTTTTAATTTTGCTATTTTCGTTGATAAGTGAAATTTGCTGAATTAAATAAATCAAAGTGAACATGTATAATAACAATATAACTCATTGTTTCTCTGCCAAGTTTATGAACTTAAAACCCAGTGAGATTGCTCAAAACATCAAAATAGTGAAATTAAATGTCAGTGAAAATAATTGATTTTAGCGGTACATTCAGATTGCATGCTGATCCCTGTGAGTATGGAACCATTAAAGTGAATACACTACATATTATAGTTGATGTTATGTGTATGGCTCAAACACGAGTAAAGTACACTTACTGATGTGTGACGTATGTGAACTTGAAAAGATCCGGATTCCAATTCATGTAAATGACATCAAAAAAATTACACATTGACTCAAAGTCAATCCAAAATACACCTGAAATTAAACAACAACTTTTAGATATCAACACGCACTGTAAACCAATCTAATTTCATAAGAGATGAATTATCATAAGACAGTGAAATTCATCAATTTTTGTAGCAGTGTAAATTTCTTTGAGGTCTTACAATACGACGTGTCAGTGACTTTCCGAAATTTGGCCTCTTGAATGTCGGAAAACCATTAAATTGAGAAGATTGCAACGAAGTTTACAGTATATTCTATATGTACATCAAGGATGTAAATTTTCGGGCTTCATTGCATTATCTGTGTTAATTATTAAGTTCAACAAATTTCAATGTGGGCTGGTATTTAAACAGCCAAAAAATATTTCAACTTTCAACAGTTTCAAAAAACTTATCTTCCTGCATTTTGTGATGTAATATATTTGTTATATTAGCAGCGTATGCACTTACGTAATCACAGTAAGGTTTAGACGATTCAAATGTGGTTTTTGGTTTATATGTGCTTCTGTTGGAGG